TGGTCTGGTCTGTTTTGTTTAAGTTTGGTTGGATCTGAACCAAAAAAAGTAAAAACTAAAGTCAAATAATAGTTGTTTGACTACATCAAACAACTAAAGTCAATCTAAAAAGCTAGAAACACGCTGAGTTTCCAAACCATATAAAACTAGTCATATTTATGTCCCAACTTTCTTAGATGTTCCTATATCAACCGGGATGACATTCAAGATTATATTTAATCTATAATAAGATGAAGATGGGTCCAGGATTTTGATACTCAGGATAGCCCCAAGCCAAATCAAAGGATTGAATTCAATTATTTTTAAATAGATTAATAATGAATAGATTAAGTGAAACTAAAAACTGTGGAAGTGTAAAATTAACTCGTTGGGAAAATCACTAATTTCTGATTCGAAGAATGAAGTGCTGATTACTATTTACTGCTGGGATATTTAATACGACGTGTATTTCCATTTTTACTCAATTAAGAATGTATTTCCATTCAATAAGTCAGGTACGTGAAAACGTGAAATCAATTATTCTTTGAGATTGTTTCTTTTATGGGATAAGGGTCAGATAGGGCCTCGAATTTGGAAAAAATGTCCAATAAGGCCATATTTAGGATGCTCTGTCCGGCCGACGCCATTAAGTCTAGTTTACTCATATTAAATTTGAACTAAAACTTCAATCGGGAAGGCATTCAAATGAATTCTTGAAGATAATTGTGCAGTTAAAAGCGCAGTTGACGTGCACTTGTCGTGATGTGCACTCAAAATAATAATACAATACAACACTTATACGTAGTATAGCGTAGTAAGGTTCGTATCCACAGGGAAAGGACTAATTCTCTTTTTATAGAACTAGTAACAAAATGGGGGGTTTTAGTTTGATTTGGTTTAATAAATTAAACACGAAGATGAACGAGTTATGTGGTTTAATTAATGAGAAGAAGATTTGGCTTTGCTTTTATCCACTTAATGAAATGTTCGTCGATCCCGGTTATATCTTTAACTATCTTCCTCTCGAATACTCAATCGAGGAGTATATCCAGTTCATCGAGGGTAGTTATTAATAACGAGACGCGTTCATTAATAAAACTTACTACCGAGTCAATATAGAACAAGCGCCGTATATTAACTTGATAGTAGCAATAAAATTAAGATGAAAACGATTGAGATTGATAACCTCAACACAAGCGGTTTATTGGTTTAATCAATATAATTAATTCCCCTTAGATTATTAACCATGAGATGCATGCATTAATAATCCAAGTTTACTACCATGAAAGGGCCGAATTAATAACAAGCGTATTAATCGACCGATTCTAGTATTAATTAATATATGAAACAAAACTAGTTGATCCTTTAAGTAATGTTCAAAATATTAATATGAAATATGAATAGGAATTAATTAATTAATACTCAAGAAAGAATATTAAAAAAGATGAATCCTACTATAGTTAATATCAAGATGTTAACTAATTGTCATCTTAGTAACACTCCCCAATATTAACGTAGAGGAAGAAATAATTATTACTATAACTAATGTCAAGATGTTAACTAATTGTCATCTTAGTAACACTCCCCAACATTGATATAGAAATAGTATTTAAAGGAAGAATTAATATTCAAGGAAGAAGATTAAAGATAATAACTCACAACTTACAAATTCATTAAGCTTCAAAGGAGCAAAACCAAGATGGAAGAGTTTAGCTCCTCATTTGGAGACTAAACATGCTATAAAAATATAAAACAAATACTATTCTAAACTGAGTTTAAGAGTATGGAAGAAGGGATCATCTTTAGTGAAGAAAAAGTGTGCTATTTATAGGTGTTTTTCAACACCGTTGGCTGAGTACCCGACCGGGTAGAGTATCTACCCGACCGGGTAGCGGTCCGAATCAAATATTTTCCACGTTCTAGTGTTCTTCAGCACGTCGGGTTGTCTTCAGTCAAGTCTCACCCGACCGGGTGAGGTATAGGGCCCGACCGGGCCAAGCAATTTCCTGGAGACTGCAAATGTTAATTCAAACCCGACCGGGTGAAGGTTTCTACCCGGTCGGGTTTATACTTCTGGGCAGCATTCTCTTTGTTTTTCTTCCTTTTCCTTGCCAACAATTCTATCAAAACTTCCTAACCCACAAATAAAAGCTAAAAGCACTTACAAATAAAAAGTAAACAAATGTTTACAACTACACACAAATGGTAAACAATCCACACAAAATAAAATATAAAAACACACATTTATGCACTACTAACTAGTGCATATCAGCAGTTATCTTCAAGACTTCATTTGAATGCCTTCCCGTGTATTTCCATTTTTACTCAATTAAGACATGTATTTCCATTCAGTATGTTAGGTACGTGAAAACGTGAAGTCATGAAATCAATTATTCTTTGAGTTTTTAGAGAGTAATCCCCCGTCATATGATACGAGGCTCCCGTATCAAGAAGCCAAGAGTCCAAATTTTCGGTACCTGCTAATTTCTCAATTGTGTCACCTGTCTTTTTGGAATTGTTCATAAATGCTAAAAATGATGCCCATTGTTCTGCCAGGGAAGTAAAATCCGTTTTTCATTTTTGTTTTCTTCTGCCGGCACTTCTTCATGCAAAACAGCATGCGCACGTGCTCCCTTTGCACCACCGTTTTTGTCACGCCCAGTCACAGGTCCAGGAGGCTTTCCACGTCCCTTTCCTTCTTTGTTAGCGAACCACCATTCAGGATATTCTCCGGTTAGCTTAAAACAATTATTTCTTTCATGTCCGTCCTTTTTACAGAAGGAACAAAACATCTTTTCTTTGTTGGGCTTCCTCCGGTCATCCAACCGAACGGCAAAGGCGGCAACCTCGGTTTTGGCGTCATGCATCCTCGTCACATTCTTGTGCCGCTCTTCTTGTATCATCATATGATACACTCGACTGAGGGATGGCAGTTTGGATTCTCTAAGAATGTTAGACCGAAGTCCGCCAAACGTAGCACCGTTCAAACCCATTAAGAATTCATGCACCTTTTCTTTCTCCACTGCCGCCAGAAATTGTTTCTCCAAATCACATTTGCATCCTCCACACTTACACTTGGGTATCATACGATACCCATCAAAGTCATCCCAAAGCATTCTCAGGCGGCCAAAATATTCTGTCACTGTTTGGTCTCCTTGTCGGCATGATTGAATGGCTTTTTTCAGTTCGTGAAAACGTACGCCGTCAGCCACCTCGAAGCGGAGTTTGAGATCCTCCCATAGATCTTGAGCAGAGTCCATGTAAGCGATGGTCGTTCGTAGAGAGGCATCGATAGACGTCATCAACCATCCAACCAACATGGAGTTCACACACAGCCAGTCGTCCCGCCCGTGTTCATCATCCGGTATCTCAATCGTCCCGTCAAGAAAAGGAAGCTTCCTTTTCGCTCTGAAGGCATTGCGCATGGCGGTTGACCATTCCCGGTAATTCGCGTCCCCTTTGAGCGCTATGCCACAGATATTCACGCCTGGAATGTCATTGGTCGGTAAATAAAAGAGGGATGCCGGATCATTTATTCTGCGCCTATACTGCTTAGGAACAGAATTGTTGCCGTCGTCCATAGTTCCGTCGTTGGTGGTCTTGGTGATAGTCTCACCCATTTGTTTCGTCGCACAGCAAAAACGCAGGTCTCAGAGAACGTGTGGCTCTGATACCATGAGAAAAGGTTTCGTACTAAATAATTGAGAAGAAAGTTTATTTGTATTGCTTCGTGTCTTTTACGTACAGGGAGGAGTCAATGTATATACACCTCAATACATGTCAAAAAGGTAAAGATCACCTGCCATAAAACTAGTCCACAAACGCACACTCTATTCTAGGAAAGAAAATAAATACAATAATTACAAAACAAATAAGGTAAAAATATGTGCATGTGTCCGGTTATTTGCATGTGTCCGTTATGCATGATTTTCTTTCCAAATGTTAAGAAAGACCGCGCACATAGCCCCACTATTGCTGCCAATCTCTTTCTTGTTACTCCGTATCATTTATCTCATTTGCGAAATGATATTGCTGAAGGATGATTTTGCTGAAATGTTCTATTTTCATCCGTAGCAGGACAGATCATAATAAAATATGGAGTACTCCATAAATTCTAAGCTCGCTAAGGCTTTGTTTGGATCCCGGTAAATGCCAGGGAAAGGAAAGAAAATGCTAAGGACATTCATTTTCAGATGTTTAGGTTTACCATGGACAATGCATAGGAAAATGAATAACTTTGATGTTTCTAAGAAAATTTATATATGTTTAGATTGCATATAATTGTATAATGGGATAAGGGTTAGTTTGGTACTCGAAGTTGCAAAAAAGGGGTCAAATAAGTCCTTATAAAGAAGATTCTGTCCGGACGTGCCATTTGAGGTGGCTTCCGGTGGAGTTTTTTGATGAAATTTTATGACCATCTTATTCATTAAGTCTAGTTCACTCATTCCAAATTTCAGATAAAAATTCAATCGGGAAGACATTCAAATGATTTCTTGAAGATAACTGTGCCGTTATAAGCGCAGTTATCTTCAAGAATTCATTTGAATGTCTTCCCGATTGAATTTTTAGCTTAAATTTGGTATGAGTAAACTAGATTTAATGAATAAGATGCTCAAAACAATTTATCAAAAAAACCACCGGGAGCCACCTCAAATGGCACGCCCGGACAGAATCTTCGATATAAGGACTTATTTGACCCTTTTTTTGCAACTTTGAGGACCAAACTGACCCTTTACTCATTGTATAATGCATATCACATCATCATCATTTTCATTTATCCCAGTGCCACAAAGGCTCCCACCTACGGTGGGGTAAGGGGGGTCGGATGTACGTAGTCTTACCCCTGTACTAAAGCACAGAGACTATTTCCGGATGACCCATAGTGAAAAACGCGTCCAAAATTGCATGAACTGACTGCTGCTTTATAACAAAGAAGCGCAGACAGTTTAATACTTTAGTGAGCCATTTTGCATGCACATATGAATAAATAAAAACAATTTCTAAAAAGTATTATTAAGTTTGAACTAGCGTTTTATATATATTTTCCTTGGACATTTTTATCCTTCCAAACTTCTGATACATTTTCCCACTAATTTCTTTCTCTGGCATTTGCTTGCCCAGTTCCGAATGGAGCCTATGAGTAAGAATTCTCAATCTATTGATTGTGAATTCATGTGTTTCCGAACTAACTACTCTAATCGCTACAAGTTTTCCAGTGTAAAAGGACTACAATGATCTATATGAAACATACAGGGGTGTTCACCAACAAGCAACATCTACAAATCACCTCAGTTATGCAAAGCAGCAGCAACAGCCTTGGGTACCCAGTTTTTCCCTCGAGAAGATAAGTCCATTCCTTCACCTGACTCCGGCTTTCTTTGATTGTGTGATGACTCCGGCTTTCTTCGGTTGTGTGCCCTTTTCTTTCCTGATGAGCTTAGGGAGCCCTCAACTGGAAAGATGGAGCAAACGTGAATCTTTAGGTAAATATACAAGTAAACCATTTACAAGTAAATATTATCAACTCTATCTAGCCCAGAGAAAACGAAATGTGGCTCCGTCACTATATGAAATCAATTCTAAGAAAGATTTGTGTATATGAAATCAATCCTTGTAGTCTCTAAAAAGGAAATAGATTACATTTGAAGAGCTGTTGTGCATAATGCGAAAAACGCCCATATCGCCGCACAGCCACCGACTTGCGGACAAGATAAAGTTACAGGCTTTTTCCCTCTTTTAGTCATTTGACTATTATGGCAATGTCACTTTTGATTCCCGTGTGTGATTTTCCCAATTTGAGAACTTTTTCTATTTTGATAGACACTTTTGGTACACACCCGTCTTTGAACTATCCATTATTAGGAATTTGGGTATTGTGACAGTACACTTGAAATTCTTCCACCATTGTAGTAATCATGAAGACCAAATGAAGAACAAAAAGTGCCATTCTCACAATAGTTACTCTAAATACCGTTAGAAGATCAAATGTAGAAAAATTCAAAGACAGGTACTAATAAAAGATATCAGAGTACTGAGAGTGGAAAATTCAAAGCCACAAGAGTCACTCCCACAATAGTTATTAAAAACTAAAAGTGGGAAAAGCTCTAATGTCTAAAGTATACATTTAAGAGCACTTTGCCATGGGTTTATCCAGTACAAACGTTTCACTCCATTATGATGTGACCAGTAGACAATTATTGTCCGGAATTTTTGGGGGTCATATCTTAACCTGTCAACTTACATTAAAAACTCCAGAAAACGAGTATTTCAATTTAAATAAGATATGGTACGTACCTTGCCACTCCCAGACCACCTTAGATTCACCCTTCACCACCTTAGGGTACTGCTCTAAACGTGAATCTTCAAGAACTAACTCTTCAACCTGTAAAAGTGCAGTTTAATGACTGGCCTGTAAGTTGTGGTGTGAAGGTAATATGTGTGCTTAGGGAGTTACAGCCTAACAGGTAGGGATAGAGGAAGCGGTTGTATCAAGTTACAGCCAGCCTGAGTAGCTACAGGGTCTCTATATCTTAAGAGCCTGTTAGGAATTAGGATAGAGGATTTGGAGGGTGTTAGAATCACATATAGAATATTAGAGAGAGAACGATACTAGTATCTTATCAAGACCTTGGGTGGAACTAGGTAATATTGGACTCAATCTTTAAGTTTTAATATAGTTTGGATCAAATATCTTATGACCTAGTTTAGTGATTTCCATTCAGTCCTGATTTCTATGACAGACTTTAGACATTATCTTGATAAAATATTTGAGATTCTTCAAAAATTGAAAGATAGACACAATATGTGATTGTATAATATTTCAGTCACTCTTTATTCATCTTTAATAACATTTTGTTGATCAAGATATAGCCGAAACCCTCTAAATTATTCCCCTTCAAACACCCCCAAAAGCCTTCATCCAAACAGTCCCTTAGATCCCCCTCATATTAGGTTTGAGCAAATTTAATGATATAGACAAATCTATGTATACTACAATTCAAACCAATAAAGACCTTGATGCACCTCTTGAACCAAAGGATTGCAAACCATCAAAGGATAAAAAGGTACTGGTTTTTATGACTAGTATTTGCATACGCTGGACAAGGGTTAGCCCATAGTCACATGATTCGCGGTACGGTTCGATACGGGAACGAGGAACGGAAACGCGGTTCGCTAGATCTAGCGTATCCGATTCGAAGGGGGGTAGGTTCATTTCGGTACGCGTTCGGTACGCGTTCGGTACGGTGTACTATATGTTCGGTACGCTGTACCTAATATTTTGGTACTATAATAAAACTGAATTACAGAATAGAGATTTCAACATTGAACAAAAAATTTCATAACATGATTTTTTAACAAAGTGTCTAAAGTCGAGTAGAGAGAATAAAGTCAACTGGAGAGGGAAGAGTGGAAGACTGCTCAGAGTAGTTGGCGTATGAAACAGATCATTTTGCTTAAATTTATATGGAGTAACTGTTATTAGAGGGTAAAATTGATGAGAAGGATCAGAAAACTAAGAGTCTAGTAGCGTGGTTCTAAAACCAAAGATCGTCTTCGTACAGCGTATACACATGGGAAACGAACAGGAAAGTAAGAGTCGCAGACCTGTTGGAACTTTGAAAACTGGGAAACGACGATTCACATCTGGATGACGGGAAATGAAGTTTTCATGCCGCGCGACTACTGGGAACGCTGGATAAAGTCGCTGCGAAGTGCGAACATCGTTTGGGATCGATTTGAAGATCGATTGGGATCGACGATGAACAGCGATTGGGAACGATAAGACGAGCGTACCCGATAGCGTACCGCAAAGCGACCGGATCGTTTTCGTACCACGATTGGGTACGGAACGATCGGTATGCAGTTCGCGCCTCCTGGAGCGATTTATGTATCTATGGGTTAGCCTCCCCTCCCCCAGAAAATTCCCCAAGAATTCCCGAAAAGTTAAGGAATAGGAAGTAAACCATTTCCTTGATTTGAAAGTCAGAAAATTGAGAGCCCATGATCTCTACAGAACAATGTTAGATAACAAAAAACATAATACTGCACCACAATGATAATGAAAAGCAATTAACACATTACGATGTGTCGCAAAGTTTTAGAAAATACAATAACTGCTTCATTCTTTGTCTTATTAAACAATATATTAAATTAACTACTTTTATAATTTTTACAAAAAAGACCAATTGCAACTTTGATGGAAACGTTAGGGTCATACCTAAAGCAACCTTAAGGGTCAATCTTCACCTGGAAGCAAACATTAAAAGCATATTTGGACCATTTCCCAATTATTAGCCCCATGTGAAAATCTAAGAAGTATACAACAGAATATTACATCCAAATACAGTTTATAACAGCCAGCAACTAAGTTATATGCTTATATATCTCTCTGATATATTCTGCCTCCATAAGTTGTAGATAACAGAAATGAATGAAAAAGTAACAGTAGTTCAACTTTGAAATATATTTCTAGAGCAGTTATCTGTTAAGAGAAAGTATCCCGCTATCATCATATTCAAAATACCTTTTTCCACAATATTGGGTCTTTTCTTTCTGTGGGTGAGAGAAGATAATCTCGTAACCATGAAGCAATCACCCATGGTTCACTCTCATAGTTAGTACTCCTCGAAAGCAATGCCTTCTCTTCAACAACATCACAAACCTGTTACAGCCACAACAGGCAGTGAGCGACCATGCATGCATGAGAAGAAAATACCATTTAAAATCCATGCCAAAGATAAATCCATGCCAGGCAGATTCTTAAATGTCCGTTTCTTAAGCATTATTTGGCCGATATGACTACATTTTCTGAAGAAAAGCATTTGGTAAAACATCTTAACCGCGCCTAGAGGAAATATTAGAGGGTTATTTGGACCTAAAACAATGTTAACAATCAATATGCAGCAACAGGAAAATGCCAGGACATATTTGCACCTACAACAATGTTAAGGGACAATAAGAAGAGTAAGACAATCAATGTTACCAAACATGGCTTAAATTGGAAAAAATTAAATCATGTATGAGTGTATGACCTCCGTCCTAAACTAAGAGTCATGTTCAACTCAGGTACAACTTTTGAATTTCATTAAGGTACAACCGTAAAACTATAAGAAATAATTAATTCTAGCAATTTAAGTTAAATTGAAGGTTTAACTAAATTTAACATACTTGTTTGGGACACAAAAATATATATTAAATATATTGACAAAAATAAATTTCCGGATAGAACTCTTTTTTGGGACAGGAGTATCAAATTTCATATGGTCATTACAACAATATATAAAAGCAAACCACAGGAATTAAAACTTGTAGGTTTATCAGCACAAGTAAATTGAATACCGGGAGATGCTAGCATTGCCAAGTAATATGGTTAGTTAGAAATAAAAGCACAAAGAACCATAACAAACTCTGCAGCTCTTACTTCATTATAGAGTTCTTCAGCTCGGAGTGATAAGTAGTGCCTTCGACGGACCCTCAACAGTATCACAAAGCACCCAACAAGCTGTAAATCTCAATAACATCAACAAAGCTTGAACATGTTGATATCACAAGCTCTCAAAAGCAGCTGCATGTTAATATTGAATACCAATGCACAGGCTGCAAGTATTGCTATAGTATTTTCTACAATCCACTGCTGAACAAGACAAGAAAGTGGCATGTGTTTTTGAGCTAGCTGGTCTGGACACTTCACCTCCTTAATTCTACAAAATAAAACATACATAATTATAAAACGCATCAGCTTCTATTCATAATGATTAATGACTCTCCATTATTTTAAACAGCTTAAATTTAAATTTTTTCCACAAACTGAACTAAACAACAACAACATCCAAGCCTTAATCCCAAAAGAATTTGGGGTCGGCTAACATGAATCGATCCATGATATCAATGCGAAAAAGAGAAGAAAGATACAGGAAAAAGGGTAAGATAGAATGGATAAGATAAAGATAAATATAAGATAACGATAACATAAGAGTATAAGAAAGATAAAAGATAAAAAGATAAAAGAGCATTAAAAAATAGAAGATAAAAATAACATAAGAACATAAAAAGATAATGAAGATAAACGATAAAAGAAAAGGAGAGAGGAAAAGATAGAAAAGAGATCACTCGTCCACACGAATTTGCGCCCTCCACTTTGTTGTCTCCAAAGTCATAGTCTCATCCAACCCAAGAAGACGCATATCTATTCTGATTCCTCTAATCCAAGTCTGTTTGAGTCTTCCTCTCCTCCCTACCACTTCTCCCCACCTCTTAAGTTGACTAACAAGTGCATCACTCGGTCTTTTACGCACATGACTAAACTACCCCAAACTGAACTAAGAGCGCATAAAATGGGATTCACTTATGGTTTATGATCATCGTCACCTATGAACTCTGATGCCACCTAAGACTTAGTAACCTGTACGGATGTACCACCACCAACATTCACTAACCACTGCCCACCACTTACCCCAATCCCTAGTTTGCTACCTACCCCAACACAACCTCCCTGCTCTTCCGTCTTCAGTACTACACTACTCAGTAACATTGTCATGTGTAACTTGCACTGATAATATAACAGTGAAAATAATCCTTGTTTCATGATAATCAAACAAAAACATGCTTTATAGTTTAGTGATCATAAAAATTAAAACAAATGGTCATTCAAAAAAATGTAGCTAAAGTGTGTTGTTTTTTCTCTCATTACGTACTTCATATAAAAGATCAGCTGAACCATACCCATGGTGATCCGTCCTTCTCTCAAGTAATTCGCCAACTGCCTCAATAGCTCTCTGCTTTGCATGACCATATGCAACATCACTTAAGCCATAATAGTTCATCATCATAGTTTCTCCAAACTTATTCAAAACCCCATCTTCTTGAACCTAAACGCAGAATGAGTATTTAAATTTTGTTTACCTTTGCAATGTTCTGCACCGCACAGGCAAAATCATATATGGATAAAATGGTGCAAAAGAGTCATGGAAACAAGAATCTTTAGATAGCACAAACCCAAATAGCACCAGTGCCACCACACATATGTTGAGCATATTCCTTGCACACGTGATCTTCTACAAACTTGTACTGCAATTGCATTATGCACCTTTTCCATTAGAGCTCAGCAACAAACTCATAAAGCTTTCTTTCACTCTTTTCATAATTAAAGGAACCTAAGAAAATAAGAAATATAGTTACATACAAGTTCCTTCGCGGCTTGACTAACTTTTGAATCTTCTATGCATGAGTCCCCATGCTTCTGATAGCCATGTGCACATTCCAATTTGCCATCATAGCACACTCCATTGCTTGGACAAGGTTCACAGAAGTCTAAAGCATGATAATTGAGAAGTACTTACAAAACAAGATTTTGTAAATAAAAATATCCTGAACTATTACCGAAACCCAAAGAGTCCAAAGTAGAAGGGACAAGGGTACAGATATCCAGTTTACTCATTATATTCATTACGGTAACTTTCTGAATTGTAAGATAACATATTCATTAAATAGATTTTAAGGAAAACATCAGATGTTTTAATACACCAGCTTGGTTCATATGGTTATATGAACACTAGACATGTACAGTTTCAATCTGACTCACATATGTTCACCTGAACCCAAACCGCACATGTCAAGTCTTTGGGTGATGGTGGTGAAAAATCAATCTCTGAATCTGTGCGTGTGTGTGTTAAATTGTAACACATATTAGCTATATTTGGTATATGACTGTAGTGCCGCACATAATTTTAGTGCTAGCTACTTGTATCAATCTTTAAGAGCTTATTGACTTTCACTTTCCAGTTCCAATTTATAACTTCATTTGTAGTATTTAAAGAGAATCCAAAATTCTGAATCGTTTTTCAGATTCAGAAGAAGAGATCGTTTCTCTTTCCAAAACATGCACTATCTTTCAAGCCTTTGAATCCCGAGCACCCTTACTAGTACCACACTCCACACACAGACTCCTCATTTCTACAGTGCAAATAATCTTCTCCTCTTCACATAAAAGTACCAGAGAACAATGCTACAATTCTTTTTGGTGTTTCTGTATTGATACTACCATGCGAATGTGCAAATTTTAGTGAAATTTCATGAACCCTTTTGGTCATAGGATTTTAACTTCATATGTTCCAACTTCCAAAAATGTGAACTTTTAGGCAATTTCTATCCAATCCATTTGCAGACTTTTGGCCAAACTGAAACTTGAGGGAAAACAAGATACAAGTTCTCTTATTCATAAAGCAGCTCAGCTCAACCTGTTTGTCAGGGTGATCTTTTTTATAAAAAATGAAGATACTTGGTCTAAATCATAGAGGGAAGACAAGAAAAGGGACTACAAATCCTTTCTTTGAATTACAGACACATAATGATAGATACTCCGTATATCATTGCTAAGTACTTCAAATCTTCTTGATACATAGAACTGTAATCCGTTCTACTGGTAAAGGACAAACTTGAATATTATGCTTTGTAAAGAGTATATATAAGGGCTAAAGGAATAAAGAAAGATGGGCAAACCAGATAGGGCGCCTTCCAACTCTGAATTGGAAGTACAAAAGGGTTTTGGCTGTTGATTGACAACGGCGGCTATGTAATTACATACGACAGCGATGAAGGTGGCAATGGATATTACAGAGACGAGCCTCAAGATCTCCGCTTTAGAGGTGGGGAAGAAATCCGGTGAAGGTTCGAGGGGCAAGGAAAGAGACGACGGCGAAATCCGGGTTCTAGAGGGTTTGGTGTTGATAGTGGGAGTGAGCAGAGTAGACGATTTGCGCGTTCGATGTGTGGAAGCCATTGGTGGTGGGGGATCAGTGATGGGCATGAAATTTGAACGGAAATTTATAGTAGCATGACGTTTGAGAGCAAATCAGTAATTCACAGCATTACGGGCGATGAGCAGATGTAGCTTAATCTTCAGGGATAAACGGCTCATAAACTTTTGTAAGCCAATATGGTCGTTGAAGTTTTTGATAAAATTTTGCCGGCATATTTTTTATCAAGTATAAATTGCGTCTATCAAAGTTAAGCTAACAAATCAACTTCTAGAATATTTAATGATAGGAGGGAAGGGAATAGAAGAGGAAGGAAGGATTTTTATAAAAATTTGTGTTTGGTTGGAGGAAATAGAAGGAAAATTTAATAAAATTATTTTCCCAATTTATTTTTATTTGATAGCTTATTTAAAAAGCTAGATACATCTAACTATTATGAATATTGCTCCTAAGGTCATTAGTCATAATATAATTTCTTTATTTTTTTTGAATTTTTGATTTTTTACCTTTTTAATCTTCTAATTTTTTATTTTTTCATTTTTTGATTTTATTTTTTTTTATATTTTTTATGTTTCAATTTTGAAATTTCAATTTTTCAATTTTTCAAGTTTTAATTTTTCGACATTTTTAATTTTTTAAATTTTAAACTTTTAATTTTTGTATTTTTAATTTTTTTAATTTTTAAATTTCACTTTTTTATTTTTTTATTTTGAAAGTCTTAATTTTTCAATATATCTGATAGAGTATATAGGCCTGGACCCCATGACCCACATACTCAAGTCAACGATGACCAGAAGAACACCCACGTGGCCCCCTTCGGCCAGTGGGTCCGCATCGGCCAGAAACCGAACCGGCCCAGGAAGCACGCCTGGACTCCCGGGGGCCGTATCGGCCCATGGATCGCATCGGCCATGAGACCGCATCGGCCAAAAGGCACCACATCAGCCAGACTTCGGCCTGGCAGAATGCATCTCTCTACTTTATTTACTAAGTATTGTACACAGCCCATTAGTGGCCCTATCTCGCCCAAAGAAGGCATGATTATTGTAATGGGCCTCCAGAGCCCATAGCTAGGAGCCCAAATCCACATTTTTTCCTATAAATAGACTCCTTGGGGCTAGTTATAGGGGGTTGAGAAATATAATTACCCACTTTCTCTCTCTAGCTCTCACTTCTCTCTAGAATTAATACTCTATCAATATCAATTTTCAATTTTTCAATTTTCAAATTATTTATTTTGTGTTTTTCTGAAATTTTATTTTTTTTAGTTTTTATTTCTCATTTTTTTTAATTTTTCGTTTATTTTAATATAATTTTTACATTTTTTATATTATAACGTTTTGTCCATTCACGTAAGAGAAAAATGATGGATAGTTTGTTATTATCAACATGTTCCCTCGGAAATACCCTGATTTGGGGGTTGGGAATAGGAGAACGTGGAGGATTTTGGAAGCTTCCATCTTTCCTCCTCTTCTCCCTTATTTCCTTCAACCAGACAAATCACCAGAAACGGATTTAGGGGGGGGGGGGGTGACCGCCCCCCTTGGACTTTCAAAATTTTCTACTATATATGTAGTATTTTCATAAAATTTTCATACTTTAATTAGATATATATGTTTTCGCCCCCCTTGACTTTTAGTTTTCAAAGTTAATATATAGTCTTACATAGTGTAATACTTAATTGGAGATTTAGAAGAAGTAAGATCTAAAATAATTTTGATAGTTTAAGACTTAGCGTACCCATTATATAAAAATTCCTAGATTTTGTAATATTTGATTATCTTTATAGATAATTAGTTTTGAATTTTTGTAAAAGAACAAACGATATTAAATACGGAGTAGTAAATACCAGACACACCAGTTAAACAGTTTTAGATCATGTGAAGTGAATCCAAAACATAAATGTTTGTTGACATTAAATTATACAATTCATTTACTTCTTACTTTCTAAAAGCAATTTATTGCATAAATAATAAACTTTAACGTATTTTAGCATTAATACAAATATAATATGTACCATATATATGAATTAACAATACTACATGTAATATTATTCTAAAGATAATAATCTCATACATATTATTGTAATATTAAAAAAACTTCTCGTGACCCATGAACTCCCTCCTTGGTTGACAAAACCTACAATCAAAAACCATTTCTTTATTCCGATAAGATTCATGTGGTTAAACAAGACATAAGTTATTTAAAAGGCATTGATTGATGTTTAATTACCTTTTAAATTTTTTACCTTCAAATAATTCGATAAAATGTTATATATCATTTTCTATTTTTTGAATAAAAATTAGCCGCGGAGCCCTACAATAGTGAAAAAAATCGTCTCGCTATACTAGCGGAAAATATTTGCCCCGCTACATTAGCGGAAAAAATTCTCCCCGCTACACTAGCGAATTTTTTTTGCCCGCTACACTAACGAAAAAATTTCGCCCCCTACACTAACGAAAAAATTTCGCCCCCCTTGACTTGAAATCCTAGATCCGTCCCTGCAAATCACTCACTTCCCCCCTCCCAAACACTCCAACTAAATAGGGCCTAAAGGAGATGATATAGAGTAAGTGAGTAACATAGGTTGAACACATTGCATCACTGCAATATCCATTCACAGCAACTCTTGATATTTTTTTTGATCATCAAATGGGCCTCTTTTCATATCAAAAGATTCAGGTTCATTACATCAAGCAAAAGGAAAATAAAACTGACACCAACTGAAACTTCAACAAGTACGACTGTAACCCTATGGTGAGACTTTGAGACGGTCACCCCTGAGAGAGCAACACGAATCGCTAACCATGTAGTGGGCTTGACACAGCCAAACCTATTCCCATAGATCCAACCATATCCAATGACATAAAGAGAGTAAAAAAACTCAAACAAACTGTCAAAACCAACAACAAAAGTGGACACAAGAAAACAAATCACAAACAAATAAAAACTACAAGAAAAGCTTTCACAAACTCTAGCACCTCGTACATCCCATGGTGGTGGTTCAGGAGGAGGTCTTACCACCGGTACCATGCTAATTGATACTCCGTGACCTTTGTCTGCCAAAGGCCATGCATCAATCCTCCATCCCTGCATAACCAAACTCATCCCTGCTTCATGCAACCAGAGTAAACGGATAGGCGGCGCCGATCTTCTCCAACGACGACATCAATACATCATTCTCGAACCTTTACCACAACGCCGATCTCCTCGAGCCATGACAGCAAATCCGCCCTTCGAGTATGAAGCACAAACAACAGCAGCCGTCCTTCGATTAAAATCGAAGATGGAAATAGCGGCCGTCCTTCGATTAAAATCGAAGACGAAAAAAAACTCCAAGCGGCCGAAGCCCTAGAGAGAAGCGAGAGACGATCTTAAAATCGTAGAAGTCAACTATTGTTAACCTTACCATTATAGGTAGTATTAAATCGTTGTTTTTTCACCAACTCTTAATATTACTAGTATTCGGACGCGCGATGCGCGAGAGCAAAATGCCCAATACTATTTCAATAGGATTACCCGAGTAAAGTCTTCTTGATTAATATTACTATTTTTTTTTAAAGTACAAGCATTTTTACACAATTTCCATCATTAGATTGAATAAAAGGATGAGTCTACTTTATACTCCATATTTAATACATCACTTTTCTTGGTGTTTAGAGGGATGCAACAAATGCTAAAATTGGCTGCACATTTAAAGTGAAAAAATCAAGTGTTATAGGAAGAGCATAAATAGCTCATTTTAAAGAAAATCCCATTTAGGCCTATTTCAGAGCCCCCTACTATTCTTCAAACAAAATTTTTGATAATGCCCCATCTAGGAGTAAAATAGTCTCAAAATGCAAATATTGGATTATAGACTTTATAGTGTCCAAACAGAAATAATTTATACTCCCTCTTGTTATTCTACTCTTATCATATTTTATTAGAGAAAACATTTTTTTATTTAAAGTAAAAACACAAAGCAAAAAATTGTTGATGGATCGTCGGACCAGGGGTGGCCGGAATCCACCGAGAATGAGAGTAGAAAGGAGAGCGAACTGATCGGAAAGTACAGATAAAATCTCAGTGTATAAGTCTCAAGTATGCAATAGATTAAGCATCCCTTTCCACAAGTTGGAAGGTGATATTTATACTAAGGAGAAGAGGGAAATACTTGGTGGCCAAGCCAAAGATGCTAGTCTAATGAGAGAGGGACACATGTAAAGCTACTCTAACAAACTAACAGCCTAATTTAATGGGAGGCAGCCACGTGTAAAGTTGATTGGAGAGAGAACCTTTGACAGCTGGCTGATTGATTATTTTTCTAACAGATTTCCTGCCAGAAGTTTCGTGTAGCCGCACGTGGATAATCCAGAGTATTCCTTTGGTACAGAAAGTGACGTGGCGGTGTTTCCTTGCGAGATAAATCCTTGCGGATTCTATCTGAGTACATGACGCTTCATCCTGACTTCGGGGATTACTGAGGCCGATATCTGAGAACTTGGGCCCGTGCTGAGAGGACTCGTCTTATTGTCCCCTGTTCCTGCCTTGGAGGCAGTTGACTGTTTGGTGCTTGATCATCGTTGACCAAGTGTCTGACTTCCGGGGTCAGACCTTGTACCGACCTCGGGTGCATCGAGGTCGGGCTCATAACTTGCCGAGTTCGGTTGATTCCTGAGCCTGATGTTCTACCGACCTCGGGGTCGGGGTCGATCGACTTCGTTATCCGCCGAGTCTGGCCGGTTCCTGAGCTTGGTGTTTCCCCGACCTCGGCGGTCGGGGTCAGTTTTGGACCGTGGACTTGGTATTTCTTGCGTCTTTGATGGATCCGCAATGCTTTCTTCCAGCGAATATGATACCCCTGGGGTATATTGGAATATACTCCATCAATTGTAAAACAAATGTAAGAAATAAAACAAACTAAAAAAAAGTAAAATTTTTTAAAAATATGAAACGAAAAGTAATAAACTTAGTATAAACAAATAAGTAAAATATGTACACCTTTGCCACCGCATCTGCCCCTCCATTCATGACATATCATCCCATCAAACTGGTGACTATTCCTCAAGTTGGTTATCATATTAGCGATATATTAAAGGAAAGTTCAAAATTTTATTAAATATTCTAATGCTCAAT